AGCATACGCTTCTAAAAAACATTGTATAGGAATGTCTGACCTGCAGCGGCAGATTATAGAGCCTAAAAGCTAGGTGAAAAGTGGGCCTTACTGCCAGTCTCAGGTGCTTTAGTTAAATTCATTTTCTAACTTTCAGCACTTACATGAAAAACCTGTATAATTTGAACCTGGAGACTGGGCCAGAGTGCTCCCTGTAAATTTTTTAGAGCAGGGAAGTAGTAACAGGTAAATGAGGCCCAACTTTAAGAAAGTCAGGCCATCCTTCACTAACACCTGGGAGTGAGGAGCAAGGGCTATGGGTTTCCTAAATTTTGCCTTGGAATATCCTCTGTGTGCCCTCCCCCAACAATCACCCCCCACCCCAAGGCAGGCTGCTGTGGCTGGATGCAGAGGTGAGACTGGGGTGTCCATGGCTGTAGGCCCCTGTAGGCAGGTGAGGCTGCCAGGCCAGGGAAGAGCCGGTGGGCGGGGAGGGGGGGGGGCGGTGAGGGGAAGAAGCAGGATCTCTAGGAATCAGAATTCTAACGAGTCCCTCCTTCCAGGTGGTCAGAGCAGTGTATTTGCATAAGTAGGAGGCAGGACAAAAGCTATTTCTCTATTTGCTGTAACTTTATACTTTAAGTATTTACCCAGGGATGGGGGGCTCTGTTTGCATACCTGCCAACATCATACAGAGTAACTGACCATGGACAACCCATTCCAAGTGCTGTCATATGTCAAAGATAACCTTCTACCTGGTCTCTCTGGGCAGTCGAAGGGAAATTCCCAAAGTGAGTCAGATCTTGCTCCCACCTGCGGAACACACCTGGACCAAACCCAATCTCCTGATCTAGGTTTGTAAAGCCATTTACCTCTCTGATCAGATCGCTTCAGGCACATTGTCCCCAGACCACCATGCTCAAACCCTGGTACCAGACCCATCTCCCTTCCTGTTGGTGTTCTACTTGTGATACACCCAGCTATCTACTGCCCCAGGCCCTTTGCACTCACTATTCCCTCTGCCTTCCCTCAGCCCCTCCTCTGCTGATGCCTCCCTTTCTTGTCCTTCTTGTGTTGGTTTAAATGTCATGGGCAGAGAGGAGTCCTCTGAGCAGTCAGTGAAACATAGCCCCACCCCCTTTCTCTCATTTCACCCTGTTTGAATCCCTGCACTTACACCAGGCCAGCAATCCTTTCTGTAATAGACCAGGTGTTTTCTCTCGTGACGGCCATGTGTCCCTAAGCCAGTCATAGACCAGAGGAAATAACAGGGGTGATTGTGTTCCAATAAAAGTTTATCGACAAAAACATGTAATGGCTCCTAGGCCGTTGTTTGCCAACCCCTGACTGGCATCTTCCTTATTTGTTTATAGCCTGAGTCTCGCCACTTGTGCACTGTGGTCTCCCTGTGCCTAGAACAGGTCTTGGCATATCTAGACACCGTGGATATCTTTAAATGAATATGACTGGTAACTGCATTGCTCTTTGGAGCCCCAGTAAATCTTGGGTTCTACATTCCCCTTTTCCTGAACATTTCCCCCTGGGAATGTAGCTCTACTTCCCCCTTGCAAAGATGACTGAACTTCAGCATATTGACTGGGAGGTGCTGTCAGAATCTGGGAACACGAGACTGGAGAAGGGGGAGATGGCAAGGCTTTCTGCACAAGGCAGGATGCATTTAGGCCCAGCAGGGAGGGAGCTGCAACTCCCAGTTCTGCAAATGCAGTTTATTTGTGGTGACTTTTTAATTCTGGGCAAAACCCAACTTTGTCATCTTTTCCAGTATGTTCCTGGGCACCTTCCTTCACTGTGCTCTCTTAGGCTTAGAAATAACTACTTTGATATCAGCTTATGAAACATCTGATTAGAATGCTTCACTCAGTGAATTGGGTCATAGCAAACCTCTCCTGCAGATCCTGAAAGATGGACAGTGTCAGCGAGAGAGGGATGAGAGACCCAGGAGATTCCTTCTGATCACCAGCCAGGCATCTCCACACTGTCTGAGACTCAAATTTATTTTATGATTAAGTGTTTAAGGGATGGCACAGAAGTGGCATTCTGATGATAAAGTCTTTGATCAGTAAAAACTTTCCAGAACATTGATATGTATAAGTGTATGGGGAACAGTCCAGAAGTGGCATTCAAATATAAACAGGTTAATGTTTTTAGCATAGTAAAGGTAAAAGTTCTTTGTGAGCAGGGGTCAATAGCCTGTTTATCGATTAATGGGAGGTATTAAGAAAAACAAGTTTTTCAGTAGCAATGTTGCTCTCATAACCACAAAAGAAGAAGTTCCTACAGTGCTCAAGCAGAACAATTGAGTGGGGATGGATATCGGTCACCATGTGACGGTAAGAGTCCGTGCAAACTTACCTTAACCTCACAAGGAGTTTTTCTCAACTAGTGAGTTCAGAAATGGCTCCCGACACTCACCAAGCTCAGGCCTGTCCTGGCCTCTTCCCTCCCCCACAAGTTCTTTCCTTGGCCACCCCCACCCCCACCCTGGCCCGACGCACTGGCTGCAAGTTCTCATCTACCCAGGGTCAGAGCCCTGAGCTAAGAACCCAGGCCAGCTGAGTAGCTGTCACTGGCCACATTGTGTGGCTGCAATAGGATGGAAATACCCAGGGCAAAGGAGGAGCCAGTGTCCGGGAACAACCTTGGAGGGGCTGCTGCCTGCTGTCCCCAGAGAGGAGCACATGGGAGGAAGTGTCTTCTGTCCAGAGTACAATGGTGGCTTCTCTAAGAGGCCTGTCACATTTCACCACTAGGGGTCAACAGTTAGCAAAATGTTTTCCCAGTATGATTTCAATGTTTCCCTGTTAAATTATTATTTTTATATTATTTCATACAAACTCTATTCCAATCTTCTCACAGTGGAAACTCAATGAGCTATAAAAATGCCTGACATTTAGCAATCTGCTCTGCTTTCAGCAACCATGAGCCTATGGAGCACTAGACAATTCTTTTCCTGACAATGGTTGTTCCCAACACAGGGTTCACCACACAGGGTATGGAAAAACTCACTCTTCTGAAACCTCGTGGATTTTGTCAGATTTGGAATAACATGCTACAAAGAAATACACTGAAATATGGATTATGTTGCGACTGAGAATTGAGTCATTTTGTTTTCTTCCTTACATTTCTGCTTGCCAAGTGTCCCATTTTTATAATCAGAGAAACAGGTGCATTTAAGACCAAGTGTTCCAGCTTTTCTCCCTCCCCTTGAATATTCCCATTGTCCATGTCCTCAGTCTGTGATTGTGACCAGCCAGCCAGGACCTTCTTCCTGCTCCACCTATCTTCCATCATGAGCTCTGAGCCAGCAGGGATGGGGCAGGCTGTGTATGTTACCTGCAAATGCTTGCGTGCTGTGTGGACTGCTGTAAGTGCCTACAGGAGGGGGCCATGGGAACCACAAGTCACCTGCCTTCAACACAAGCCCTGGGTGCTGGGGCGGGATCTCCTCCTGTGCACATGATCCTTGGCACCAAGCCTGACCTTTCTAGTAACACCATTTGGCACAGTCTGTGCTGGATTTGTGCCCAGACTGCTTGGGTTCCTCTGAGCTCACTGAGCCTCCACTGTGCAAATCATGGGTCATGGATTTTAGAACAGTTCCCCTTTGCAACAGGAATGCACACACCTCAGGGTAAAAGAGAGTGGGGTGTGTGGAAGGAGTTCCCCAGTCAGGACTGAGAAACTAAAATCTGAGCACACATGGCTGATGCAGCCAAAATGTCCTAACATGTTAGAGACACTCTGGCATGATCTTTTAATGTGTGTCAGCCTTAATCCTTATTAGTATCTGAGTAGAACTGGAAGTGAAGGTGAATCCACTGGAATCCTAGGATGAGCCTAAGAAGGGAATGTAAACCTCAGTTCCCCAGAATGCATCAACCCCTGCCACTTCCTTCCATTTTCTGTGAACTAATTAGCCTTTTTCATACTCAACCATGTATGTAACCCAGACCTAGGGCATAATTACCCTCCACACTATTGAGAACTACTATATTGATTTGTTCTTAAAATATTCATGTTTATTTTTAAAATGTGACTTAAAGCACCATGCAAAATATAGTTTCATTCATGGAGTCTCAGCTTCTCCTCGTTGTTGTGCCAGGGTCCTGGGGTTTTATAAGCAATTTGTTTTTGCAGCTCTTGGTCATCTCCAGATGTGTGATCTGCTCCCCTACTTGTCACAGGCTGTGCCTGGGAATCTTTGAGAGCCCCCCCTCTCTAGATCAGTCTTGCACAGTATGAGTGCAAGCAAGCTATCCTGTCCTCCCACTGCTGGGGAGCCACTTCTCCCCTCTTATCCATTCCACTAGGCAATGGACACTTCATTCTGTGATGACAGCAACCTTTTGGAGGCATTCTCCATCCCTGCGATGAGGAAATCTTCGGGTTTTTTGTTTGTTTGTTTTGTTTTGTCTTCAATCTTGGCTTTCAGGACCTTTGAGAACTCAGGAATTCTCATTGGGATGCTAAATGATGAACTCATTTATCTCTTTGCATTCCTACTATTGAAATCCTCATTGTCCTTGAGACAAGGATGTCCCTAGCTGTAGAAGGGACATTGCTCTAGAAATGGAACACAAACAGGAACACTGACATTTTAGATAGTATCACTACCCTGTATCACACATGACAGGGCCCCTCTCAGCATCTGATACCGGCTCCCCACAGCTCTAACAAATGCACCCCAGGACCTGCTCTAGAAGAAATAACTCAGGAGTTGGGGGGGGGTTCTTCTAAGAGAAGAAGGAAGTGGTTCCTGTGGGGAGGAGGGAAGGTCTCCGCATAAGTCAGTGCACAGTCACAAACACAAGAGGCACTTTCCAGAAATGTTGAATGGACACAGTGACAGTGAAAACTCCAGAACAGAAGTCATCAGCTTGGGAAACAAAAGCAGATCTGGGAAGATTACAGTGTACTGGGCGGTATGGACAGGGCCAATCAGGCCAAACCCTAGGGCTTTAAGTGGGTGGCCTCAGAGTCACCGCCCAACATCAGAGAGCCCTGGGACTACACCTGCTGAGGGTATTTGCACAGCTACACGATCAGGTGAGCACTCCCGGAGGGGCCGGTGTAATCCTTGTGTAAGTATTTGGGAGGATAAATTCAATGTTTTACTCCATTCGAGTGGTCTAACATCTCAGAAGAAAGAGGGATAGTTTTAGATAGTTCAGTCTAATCAGATACTCATTTCTTTTTTTTTTTTATGTTTATTTTTTATTTATTTATTTATTTATTTATTTATTTTTACAAATAGTTTATTGTCAAATTAGTTTCTACATAACACTCAGTGCTCATCCCCAAAGTGCCCTCCTTCATGCCCATCCCCCCCTCCCCCCCACATCCATCAGTCCTCAGTTTTTGTCAGCATTCAAGAGTCTCTCATGGTTTGCCTCTCTCCCTTTCCCCCACCATTTCCGCCCTTCTTCTCCCCCTTGGTCCTCCGTCAAGTTCCTCCTAATCCTCCTATACGTGCAAACATATGGTATTTGTCCTTCTCTGCCTGACTTATTTCGCTCAGCATAACACCCTCAAGGTCCATCCATGTTGCTACACATGGCCAGATTTCATTGTTTCTCATTGCCATGTAGTATTCCATGGTATAGATAAACCACATCTTCTTGATCCATTCGTCTGTTGATGGACACTTAGGCTCTTTCCATGTTTTAGCTATTGTGGAGAGTGCTGCTATGAACATTGGGGTACATGTGCTCCTATGCATCAGCATTTCTGTCAGATACTCATTTCTTTTTGCTTCCTAGGTTTTGAAACATGCATCGTTTTGTCTTCCTGACTGCCCTTTGCTTGGGAATAGCCTCAGCTACTATACAGCTTGATCAAAGTTTAAATGCACAGTGGATCCGGTGGAAGGAGATACACGGGAAAAAATATGGTGTGGTTGGTAACATCTAAACTATCTGGGGGACCCACCGAGAACGTCTGTGCTGGTGGGAGTTCATAGCACAGAGTAGCATCTTGAGGCCACTCTTACCAAGAGAGTAAGCTGAGCACTGTGACTGTGCACAGTGTGAGCATGAGTCCTGCTGTGTGGATGGTGGAGAACATATCTCAGAAGCATCAGGTCACCCCTGGCTGTTGTTTCTCCTCCTCTCTCTGAGCACATCCACTTGGTGCAGGTCAGTAGGTCTTAAATACAAATAAGAATGATAAGTTATATGTTTGCCTCTAGGCTGAAGAATGCAGAAGAGCAGTGTGGGAGAAGAACATGAAGATGATTATAAAGCACAATCAGGAATATTATCAAGGGAAACACAGCTTCACAATGGCAATGAATGGCTTTGGTGACATGGTGAGTGTGGCATGGATTTGCTGAATGTTTTGTTCTTTTTCTCTTCAGTACTTTCTTCCCCAAATCTCATGCTTGTCAACATTTTACTTTTTTTCTCCTGCAGACCAGTGAAGAATTCAGGCACATGATGATTGGCCTTCCAATGCAGAAGAATGATACTGGGAAAGTATTTAAAGTCCCTTTCTGTGCTGGTATCTCTGTAACTGGGGATAGGAACCAGAAATCTGCTGTAAGTCCTGTCAGTATCAAGGATGACTACTCAACAGGTCTCTCTCCAAGAGGAAAGCCAAAAACAAAGTGGCCACCCTGCTAAGGTTTCCTGCTGTGGAACAATATGTTGTTGCGATATTGTTGTTGCTGCTGTTTGTAACGTTCATTATTTTTGAGAGAGAGAGAAAAAGAGCATGAGCGAAGGAGGGGCAGAGAGAGAGGGAGACACAGAATCCATGCAGGCTCCAGGCTCTGAGCCGTCAACACAGAGCCTGACATCATAACCTGGCCCGAAGTCTGACTCTGAACCAACTGACCCACCCATGTGCCCCATCATTGCTATGTTTTAAAGTTTTCATATAGATGGACTGTTGTCACTCTTAATATTTGTTTTGTAGACTGAGACCTTTATAATTTGTTTTCAGGGTCGGTGTGCCTCTGGCTGGGCTTTTAGTGCAATTGCTGCCCTTGAAGAACAAATGTTCCGGAAAACTGGCAAACCTGTTTCCCTGAGTGTGCAGAACCTCCTGGACTGCTCTTGGGCTGAAGGCAATGAGGGCTGCAACGGTGGTCTAATGAGTAATGCCTTCCAGTATGTTAGGAACAACGGAGGCCTGAACACAGAGGAATCTTATCCATACATTGGAAGAGTGAGTAGAGTTCCTCACTTGTCATTCCAGCTCTGCTCTTAGACTTGAATGCTTCTGAAGAAAACGGACACCATATTTAACATTCACATTTTCTTTTTTTCTTTTTTTATGTTTATATATTTTTGAGAGAAAGAGAGCATGAGTGGTGGAGGGTCAGAGAGAGAGGGAGACACAGAATCCAAAGCAGGCTCCAGGCTCTGAGCACAGAATCTAATGTGGGACTCAAACTCACCAGCCGTGAGATCATGACCTGAGCCGAAGTTGAATGCTTAACCGACTGAGCCACCCAGGTGCCCTTAATATTCACATTTTCAATTGTAGACTCTATCTGCAGACTGTCAGGACTGATAGCCTGCACAGTTCTCTGCTTAGAGGGTTGCCACATAGGTATTTTTATTTCTATGTTACATGGAGATATGCGTACCTTTCTCTATAGGGTACAGATTTCTCCAGAGTGAAAAACTTCTTATGGACACTTAGACCAATGGTGCTTTGATGAATTCACACCAGTTAGATCTTTTTAAGTTTATTTATTTTGAGAAAGAGAAAGAAAGAGGGAGTACGAGAGGTGGAGGGGTAGAGATAGAGAGAGGGAGAGAGAATGCCAAGCAGGCTTCAGGCTCTGTGCAGAGCCCAACACAGAACTTGATCCCATGACTGTGAGATCATGACCTGAGCCACAATCAAGGGTTGGACGCTTAACCTAATGAGCCACCCAGGTGCCCCTCACACCAATTAGTTTTTCAATTTCAAAACAATAAATACCATTTCTCTTCCTGGGATCCTTCACAACAAACTTGACTTGGAAATCTTTCACCTGTAAGCTGTGTTACATGTTCCCAGGAGGTGGATGGTAGTAATCAAGTTTCTTTTCCTTTACCGTTCGAAGGATGGACCCTGCAAATACAGGCCCGAGTATTCTGCTGCCAATATCACTGACTTTCACACCATCCCTCAGCAGGAGAAGATCCTTAAGATGATACTGAGAAAAATGGGGCCTGTCTCCGCTACTCTAGATGCAAGCCTGGATACCTTCCGGTTTTATAAACGAGGTAAACTTTTGTTAATGTAGAAATTTAGGTAGGAAAATTGGAAAACCGCCCTAACAGATGGAAAGAGTGACACTTTGGTATGTGGAATTCAATGTAGAATTGGGGGGGGGTGGATTTAAACTAGTTGTTCATTCTGTACCTGTAGTATTTATGTCTGCTGCTTCCATATGCCATGACTTGACCCAAATCCCCATGATTTTAAGTATATCACAAATATATTTAAATAGCTACATAATTCGATGGGTAGAGTTTACTTTACTTTTTTTCCATGTGTAGACCTTAAAAACGTTTAAAGAATTTTGCTACTGAAATTAACACTGGAAAGAATCCCTTGGCTCAAGTAATTTTATGTTCTCTACTGTTTCACTAGGCTGACATCCTATAAGTAGAATAATAAGGTTTTGGCAGGTAATTTTTAAAAACCTCTTGACTCGGGGTACCTGGGTGGCTGAGTTGGTTAAGCGTCTGACTTCGGCTCAGGTCATTATCTCACGGTTCGTGGGTTTGAGTCCCATGTGGAGCTCTGTGCTGACAGCTAGCTCAGAGCTGGAGCCTGTTTCAGATTCTGTATGTCCCTCTCTCTCTGACCCTCCCCTGTTCACACTGTCTCTCTCTCAGAAATAAATAAGACATTAAAAAAAAAATTTTAAAAACCTCTTGACTATTATTTTCAAAAGAGATTGTGACAGTATTTCTCCAGGTGTGAGATGAAGGCCTGAATCCCCACCCTAGCTAAACAAAAGTATCCGACTTTTAAATCTCATCTGAATTCATATCACAACTGAATCTTGAAATGCCTCCCTTACTGTGATTGATAGGCTGGGTTACTATCACATGTCATGTGGGAATCCTCACTCCAGCATTGAATATTACTCCCTAGGCATTTATTATGATCCAAAGTGCAGCAGTGAAGACCTGAATCACGGTGTTCTGGTGGTTGGCTACGGCTTTAGAGGAAAAGAATCAGATGACAAAAAATATTGGATTGTCAGAAACAGGTATGAAAATCCAGGAACACATACTGTTGAATTTGAAAACAGAATATTTTTTGGAACCAGTGTTAAGACACTGGTCCCCCACACTTGACAATACTTCTGAAATCCTAGCAGTGTTTACCCACCTAGTAGGGAGCACAGACATCGTCCATATGATAACAACATTAAGATATTGCCTCCCACTGGCACTAGGGTCCTGATTTGGTACAATTGCATTTCTTAATTGGAATTTTAAAAAATTTCTATAACACGGGGCGCCTGGGTGGCTTAGTCGGTTAAGCGTCCGACTTTCGCTTGGGTCATGATCTCGCGGTTCGTGGGTTCGGGCCCCGCGTCGGGCTCTGTGCTGACTGCCAGCTCAGAGCCTGGAGCCTCTTTCGGTCTGTGACTCCCTCTCTCTCTGACCCTCCCCTGCTCACGCTGTCTCTCTCTCTCTCTCCTAGAAATAAATAAAACATTTTTTAAAAAATTTCTGTAACACATCCAGGTCCCAAAATTTTCCTTTTCCTGCTTACGTTACAGTTTTGTGGAAGGTCTGGGGATAGAATTCTATGCTGGGTCAGAACTCAACCATGAACAAGAATGGCCTCTCCTGATTCTTCCTGAATCTGTTTTTGATCATTTGTAATAATTGGAAAACTCTGTATTTTTTCAGCTGGGGCTCTGAATGGGGCATGGATGGCTACATAAAAATAGCCAGAGACAGGAACAACCACTGTGGAATCACCACCATGGCCAGCTTTCCTGTCGTGTGAGATGATGGTGATGAAGAAGTCCTTGACTGGCAACAGAATATCCAGGAAATGGATTTTATTGTAAAGTTTATCACATCTTATTGTTTGGGGTAAAACACTTGAATCATTGAAGATCCAAGTTGTGACTGGATTCTGTGACTGTTCACACTGCTCTTTAATCCTTGCTGTAATCAATGGTTTATGATTATCTTCCTTAATAACTTTTGAATGTTCATGTTATAATTTTTTAAATTCATTTTTGAGAGAGAGACAGGCAGACCAAGTGTGAGCAGGGAAGGAGCAGAGAGAGAAAGAGACACAGAATCCGAAGCAGGCTCCAGACTCTGAGCTGTCAGCACAGAGCCCAATTAGGGGCTTGAACTCACAAACCATGAGATCATGACCTGACCTGAAGTCAGATGCTCAATCAACTGAGCTTCCCAGGTGCCCCTGTATGTTCATATTTTAAAACGTTGCATGAATTTTTATCTTTTAAAATAAAATTTATTTGCATATGTTGGGGTGTGATTCTGTTTTTAATACATAAACTTCTTTATAGTAAAAACATGAAGTGGTTTTGGAGAGAGGAGGAAATGTCCTCATTTCCTCCAAAATTCTTCCAATTGGTTTAAGAATTTAATTAACATGAGACAGGTTAATGGAAAAAAGTATCTCAAAGTTTTATTATATAAACAGGGAGGCCCAGTAATGAATTTGAGCGCCCCCAAAATAGCCAACAGGTAGGGTTTTTTTTTTTTTTGGCAGTTTTTATACATTTAGAAAAAGACAATAATTTGTGAGGAATTGACAGGAAAAAGAGAAAACGTGTGTGGGAGCTTTAATTTGCAGGATCTCTAAGTGGAATCTGGGCTGGGGTTGAAGATGAGCAAAAAAGTAACAATGTTTGTTTCCACAGCTTTCTTACCTTTGAAGCCCCATCTCTGCTGATAAAGATGTCTCTTACCTTGTTCAGGGAGAGAACTTTCATATGGGACACTCATTTTCTGCTTTCAGGGGTCACAGAAACAGCCTGGGTGTCCTTGAACCAGCCATATCCCAAGTAGCTTCAATTCAGGATAGTCAATATGCCATGTGGTACATTTTGGGGTGACCTCCCTGGGCCCCCATAGTTTCTTCATTTGAAACTTCCCTAGAATTTTGCATACTAACTAGCTGAGCGGGTGACTGTGGAGAGAGAAATCCAGTTTGTAAATGAGCGGTAAGAAATCTACAAAGAATAAAAAAAAAAAGCACAGAGCAGCATGAGGATGAAAATATGGGTGAAGGAGGGTGGGAGGTACAGGTTTCCAGGTATGGAATGAATCAGCCATGGGAATCAAGGGCACAGCACAGGGAATATAGTCAATGGTATTGTAATAGTGATGTAAGATGACAGGGGGTGGCTACACTTGTGGTGAGCACAGCATAATGTATACAGTTGGCAAATTACTGAAACAACGGTAGCATCGTGTGTCATTTATACTCAAAACATTTGAAAAAAAAAAAAAAGCAAGACGATGAATAAACAGAAGAGAACATATTGCCCCACACCTCATGAAACCCGTCCCACAATACTGGAAGTAGATCAGCCCAATGAAATGTGTTTCATTTATCTGATGGAAAATATTAACTCCTTTCTTTAAGGCTGATGTAAATTAGATATTATCTATCTCATTTGGTTTAGATAAAAGCAACATTTTCCACTGATGATTGCACGAGCTGCCCCTGCTGGGCAGTCACTGTATCCAGAACATGATGACTTGAGACCCCCAGATGCTAAGCTTTTACCTTCTGACTAGAGTGTTTTCTTTTTTTTCTTTTGTCTATAGATATCTTTATTATTTTTTTATTTTTTTAATTAATTAATTTATTTTTTACAAATAGTTTATTGTCAAGTTGGTTTCCATGTAACACCCAGTGCTCATGCCCACAAGTGCCCTCCTCCATGCACATCTCCCCCCTCCCCCCCACACCCATCAGTCCTCAGTTTGTTCTCAGCATTAAAGAGTCCCTCATGGTTTGCTCTCTCCCTCTCCCCCACCATTTGCCCCCTTCTTCTCCCCCATGATCCTCTGTTAAGTTCCTCCTATACGTGCAATATATGATATTTGTCCTTCTCTGCCTGACTTATTTCGCTCAGCATAACACCATGTTGCTACACATGGCCAGATTTCACTCTTTCTCATTGCCATGTAGTATTCCATCGTATAGATAAACCACATCTTCTTGATACATTCGTCCGTTGATGGACACTTAGGCTCTTTCCATGTTTTGCCTATTGTTGAGAGTGCTGCTATGAACATTGGGGTACATGTGCTCCTATGCATCAGCATTTCTGTATCCCTTGGGTAAATACCTAGCAGTGCTATTGCTGGGTCATAGGGGAGTTCTATTGTTAGTTTCCTGAGGAACCTCCACACCGTTTTCCAGAGGGGCTGCACCAGTTACATTCCCACCAATAGTGTAAGAGGGTGCCCGTTTCTCCACATCCTCGCCAGCATCTAGAGTTCTCTCATTTGCTCATTTTAGCCACTCTGACTGGCGTGAGGTGGTACCTCAGGGTGGTTTTGATTTGTATTTCCCTGATGAGGAGGGATGCTGAGCATCGTTTCATGTGTCTGTTGGCCATCTGGATGTCCTCTTTGGAGAAGTGTCTGTTCATATCTTCTGCCCATTTCTTCACTGGGTTGTTTGTTTTTTGGGTGTGAAGTTTGGTGAGTTCCTTATAGATTTTGGATATTAACCCTTTGTCTGATATGTCATTTGCAACTATCTTTTCCCATTCCGTTGGTTGCCTATTAGTTTTGTGGATTGTTTCCTTTGCCATGCAGAAGCTTTTAATCTTGATGAGGTCCCAACAGTTTATTTTTGCTCTTGATTCCCTTGCTTTTGGGGATGTGTCAAGTAAGAAGTTGCTACAGTGGAGGTCAAGGAGGTTGTTTCCTGCTTTCTCCTCTAGGGTTTTGATGGTTTCCTATCACATTCAGGTCCTTTATCCATTTTGAGTTTATTTTGGTGTATGGTGTGAGAAATTTCTCTAGTTTCAATCTTCTGCATGTTGCTGTCCAGTTTTCCCAACACCATATGTTAAAGAGGCTGTCTTTTTTCCATTGGATGTTCTTTCCTGCTTTGTCAAAGATTACTTGGCTGTATACCTTTGGGTCCAGCTCTGAGTTCTCAAATCTGTTCCATTGGTCTATGTGTCTGTTTTTGTGCCAATACCATACTGTCTTGATGACGACAGCTTTGTAGTAGAGGCTAAAGTCTGGGATGGTGATACCTCCCGTTTTGGTTTTATTCTTCAATATTACTTTGGCTATTCGGGGTCTTTTGTGGTTCCATACAAATTTTAGGATAGTTTATTCTAGCTTTGAAAAGAATGCTGGTGCAATTCTGATTGGAATTGCATTGAATGTGTAGAGTGCTTTGGGTAGTAATGACATATTAACTATATTTATTCTTCCAATCCATGAGCATGGAATGTTTTTACATTTCTTTGTGTCTTCTTCAATTTCTTTCATAAGTTTTCTATAGTTTTCATCATACAGATCTCTTGTATCCTTGGTGAGGTTTATTCCGAGGTATTTTATGGTTTTTAGTGCAATTGTGAATGGGATCAGTTTCTTGATTTCTCTTTCTGTTGCTTCATTATTGGTGTTTAAGAATGCAACCGATTTCTGTACATTGATTTTGTACCCTGTGACTTTTCTGAATTCATGAATCAGTTCTAGTAGGCTTCTGGTGGAGTCTGTCGGGTTTTCTATGTAGAGTATCATGTCGTCTGCGAAAAGTGATAGTTTGACTTCCTCTTTGGCAATTTTGATCTCTTTTATTTACTTTTGTTGTCTGATGGCTGATGCTAGGACTTCCAGCACTATATTAAACAGCCGTGGTGAGGGTGGACATCCCTGTCATGTTCCTGATCTCAGGGGGAAAGCTCTCAGATTTTCCCCATTGAGGATGATGTTAGCTGAGAGCTTCCCATAGTTGGCTTTTATGATGTTTAAGTAGGTTCCTTCTATCCCAACTTTCTCTAGAGTCTTTATTAAGAAGGGATGCTATATTTTGTCAAATGCTTTTTCTGCATCTATTGACAGGATCGTATGGATTTTATCTTTTCTTTTGTTGATGTGATGTATCACATTGATTGATTTCCGAATGTTGAACCAGGCCTGTAACCCAGGAATGAATCCCACTTGATCTTGGTGGATAATTCTTTTTATGTGCTGTTAGATTCGATTTGCAAGGATCTTGTTGAGGATTTTTGCATCTGTATTCATCAAGGATATTGGCCTGTAGTTCTCTTTTTTTGCTGGATCTCTGTCTGGCTTGAGAATCAGAGTGATGCTGGCATCATAAAATGAGTCCGGGAGTTTTCCTTCGATTTCTATTTTTTGGAATAGCTTCAGGAGAATTGGGATTGATTCTGTTTTAAATGCCTGGTAGAATTCCCCAGGGAAGCCATCAGGTCCAGGGCTCTTATTTGTTGGGAGATTTTTAATAACTGATTCGATTTCGTCACTAATTATGGGTCTGTTCAGATTTTCTATCTTCCCGTGTGAAAATTGGTGGTGATTGTGTGTTTAGGAATTTATCCATTTCTTCTAAGTTGTCCAATTTGTTGGCATATAATTTTTCATAGTATCCCCTGATAATTGCTTGTATTTCTGAGGGGTTGGTTGTAATAAGTCCATTTTCATTCATGCTTTTGTCTATTTGGGTGCTCTCTCTTTTCTTTTCTGAGAAGCCTGGCTAGAGGTTTGTCAATTTTGTTTACTTTTTCAAAAAACCAACTCTTGGTTTCATTGATCTGTTCAATTGTTTCTTTGGTCTCTATGTTGTTTATTTCTGCTCTGATTTTTACTATTTCTCTTCTTCTTCTGTGTTTGGGGCGTTCTTATTGCTCTGCCTCTAGTTCCTTTAGGTGAGCTGTTAGATTTTGGACTTGTGCTTTTTCTAATCTCTTGAAATAGGCCTGGAGTGCAATGCACTTTCCTCTTAGGACTGCCTTTCCTGCATCCCATAGATTTTTGGATTGTTGTTTTTTCATTTTCATTTGTTTCGATATATTTTTTAATTTCCTCTCTAATTGCCTGATTGGCCCATTCATTCTTTAGTAGGGTGTTCTTTAACCTCCATGTTTTTGGAGGTTTTCCAGACTTCTTCCTGGATTGATTTCAAGTTTCAAAGCATTGTGATCTTAAAGTGTGCATGGTATGATCTCAATTCTATTATACTTCTTGTGGCTGCTTTATGTCCCAGTATGTGATCTATCTTTGAGAATGTGCCAT